ACCAGAGTCTAATGTGTCCACGCCCTTGCCTTAAGGCCTTATCTCTGCACCGGAAGGAGCTTACCTGGATATACTGTTTACCTTCTACTGTAGTTGTATTTGTGTGTTAGGATTTCAAATTGTGTAGATAGAAGAATAGGCCAGAGCTGGTCCAGGATGTTTGAAAGTTAGAGCTGGTAGCAAAAGTCTTCTCCATGGATACCAGAGACAATAAAAACCCGAAAGAAGAGGTAGATTGAGGAAACAATCATACAAATCATACACTGTGAGTAGAAAGTAGATTAACAAAAAGGTGGGGTGTTCCCATTCAACTGAAGTGAGGCTGAACACAGCGCACAGTATTTACCTTTAGGCTCCCCGGAGAGCTGTTAGAACTGAAATGGTTCTAAGTCTATAATAGAATTTATGGAATTTACGTTGCTTTCCCCCCTCCTTTCTCATAGAAGTAGTTGATAATTCTGAGGCTTTTTTCCTAATGCGGAAGTTTCAGGTTGTTCAACAGAACGGTTTTGCGTTCAACAATCAGCCAAGGTTATAGCTACACAGTGGGTTTGCTGACTGCTCATCATGGATTCAGCTCAGTGAAATTCCTGTCAGCTAAGGTTCTTTTTGTATTTTTATAACTAAACACTGAGAGAGGATCAGAAGTCACCTTGCTCTGTTACAAACCTGTGCAAGCACCTTTAGAGATATTTTTGCAGCTGACTCGTATTTTCACATCATTACTTACATGTCAATATTCTGTTAAGTATGAAATGACCATCTCTATTTATTTTTTTGCTTTTTTGGGTCACATGTGGCAATGCACAGGGGTCACTCCTGGCTCTGCACTCAGGAATTACTCCTGGCGGTGCTCAGGGGACCATATGGGATGCTGGGAATCGAACCCGGTTTGGCCTCGTGCAAGGCAAACGCCCTACCCACTGTGCTATCTCTCCAGGCCCCCATCTTTATTTTTTATTTTGGGGCCACACCAGGAGATGCTTAGGAATTACTCCTGGCCCTGCCCCCCTCAGTAGTTACTCCTAGCAGTGCTCAGGGGACTATATGAGATGACAGGGATCAACCCGGGTCAACTGCATGCAAGGCAAACGCCCTACCCGCTGTGCTATTAGCTCTGGCCCCTAATGGCCATCTTTAAAAATTACTTTTCTTCCAGTTTGTCTGTTCTTTATTCAAGAGCAAGCAATATTTTCCAGGGCACACATATTCTGTAAATGAAATACGTTCTCTTTCCTAGGGTTTTGTATGTTTATGCTGATGGCAATGTAGAGGTTTGGTTTCCGTCTGTAAGTTGCTTTTGGAAAACAAAAACTGTTCTAAAAAGTCTTGAATATCAGTGACTTTTCTTTTGGCAATTTGGTGGGAATTCATTTGAGAATCTTGTTTCTCTTTTGTTTATTTATTTATTTATTTTGCTTTTTTGGGTCACACCCGGCAATGCACAGGGGTTACTCCTGGTTCTGCACTCAGGAAATACTCCTGGCAGTACTCAGGGAACCATATGGGATGCTGGGAATCGAGCCCGGGTTGGCCGCATGCGAGGCAAAGGCCCTACCGGCTGTGCTATTGCTCCAGCCCCTCTCTTTTGTTTTTATTTTTAATGGTTGACAAAAGGTGTGCTTTTGTACAAGTATAAAATAAGTAAATGTGTAAGTGGACTCCTTGTCAGTTGGAAAGTAGTTTTCATCGAGATGAATGTATTTACAAATAAATATGTATTTTCAAAGGAATTTTAGGAAAAATATTGTTGTGAAAATCAAAATGGTTAATCTGAAACTGCTTATTTCAGCCACACCTTGTGGTGCTCCGGGCTTACTCTTAGCTCTGTGCTCAGTGATGGATCCTGGCAGGATTGGGTACTGTATATGGTGCCAGTGATCAAATCTGGGTCTACCTTGTGTAAGTGCCCAAGTTGCATCTTCCTCCCATATGTGAGGTTCAAGACTCCACAGAAACAAACACAAAAGTGTCCTGTTTCAGAGGAGAGATGGCTCAACAGGCAAAGCAGATGCTTTGCACACAGGAGCCAGATTCAATCCTTGGCATTGTGTGGTCTTCCAGCGCTGTGGAGAGTGACTGAGCACTGGGCCAGGAATAAGTCTTCAGCATCACAGGGGGTGATCCCAAACTAAAACCAAACAAAAACAAAATTGACACTCCCTCTGCTCCCATAATTAAAACAAAACAAAATATAAGATAGCATGGGCACAATTTATTCACTTATTTATTTTTGAATCACTGTGAGCTCCAGTTACAAGGCTTTCACATTTGAATTTCAGTCATACAATGATTGAACACCTTTCCCTCCACCAGTGCGCACTTTCCATCACCCATGTCCCCAGTATCCCATCCCTCATCCCCCCCCCCCACCTTTATGGCAGACAATTTCCCTCTTACTCTCTCTCTACTTATGGGCATTATGGGTGCATAGGGACAATTTAAAATGCACAATTTCATCCCTTAGGGTTCCTATTCAGAAGAAACTGTTATTAAAAAGATTTTAAAGATGAGTAGATTAAAACACAGAAATGCTGAGTAACTTGGCCGTCACCCTCATCCAGCCTGGCTGTGAGCCATGGCCATGTGAGACTCTACCCGGCCTTACCAGGGCCACCAGGTGACACCGGCAGGGCTAGGCGGCAGGTGAGCCGTGCCAAGGATCAGATGCAGGGCCTGGAACACACTAGAGGGTGTGTTCGCTCACTTCAACTATTTTCCTGGCCCCAAAGCCAGGATTTTGAATCTAGATATTCTGGCTGTGGAACAAATAACTTCACAATGAGATCGGAGCTTCTGAAATAGCTTTCCATGGCCAAAAGCAATTAAACTATATTTTGTTGAATTTATTTATTTACCTGCCAGAATCAGGCAGGGGAATTTGAGGCATTGCTCCATGTGATGGGAAAAAAGAAGCACCCTGGCACAAGCTGCAGAAACCACCAAGACGTTTTTTTCTAAAAGTGTTTTCTGAAACAGATGAGACATTTGCATCTGTTATCTTGTCTAATGGGGAATGGGGGTGGGCGCATCTCAGGGACCACTTCCAACACTCTTTGGGGGACTCTGTGGCAGTGTGAACTGAACCTTGAAGCTCAGCAGGTGCAAATACCTCCAGCCTTTTGAGCCATTTACCTGGCTGTGCTCAGGGATCACTCTTGGTGGTGCTGGGGATCAAACCCAGCACAGCTGCTTGCAGGGCAAGTCATTTACCTGCAATCTTATCTCTCCAGCCCCAATGTGATCTTAAGCTCAGGTGATTACCCACAAAGGTAGGGCGGGCATACTCTAATCATCTACTCAGCTGTTGAAACATTTACGAAACCAAACAAGCAAATAAAATCAAAACCAACGGAATTCTGCTCATTGGTGTGATGGGTAAGTCACAAAATGGAGAGTTCGCTTGGACTGCACTCATGATCGGGTCCGCAGCTCCGGCGCTGTCCTTCACTGGGTTTACGGGATCCTCCCTATGGGCGACGGAACGAAACGTCCCTGTACTGTGACATACCTGTCAAAGTCCTTCTCCCCATTAGGATGGCACCGCACCCAGCCACGTGGTAGTCTGAATGCAACACTTACCCTGCACTTAGTCCGCGTAACAGGAAACCGTGGACCCTGTCCTGAAAAGATTTGATTTCTAGGAAGCAAAAACAGGTAGAAACTAAGGGGGCTCGCGCCCTGCAAGTCTGGGGTCCATCCACACCCTGACGGGTCCCCCCGAAGGGCACCCTCATCATTTTGCATACTCATCCCTGGAGGGTCGCTGTCCCCTCTCCCCACCCCGCACGGCCCAATTCTGCAGTAAATGTAGTCTGGGTGGCCTTGAGCCCCGGTGTCCATCCCAGAGTAACCCAGTTTCGGCCCCCCAGCAAAAGCCGGACTTGCGCGCGAGGCCACTGACCCTTAGCCCACGGCGGCGCTGGGGCGCTCGCACCCACCCACCCTGACTTGCCCTAGGCAGGTAACTGCAGGGCCCCGTGAAAGTTGGGCTCAAGAGGCTTAGGTCAGGCTGTGAGGAGCCCCGGAATAAAGAGACCGTTAGTTTTTCCACGAGACCAAGTCACCCCGGGGGGTGAAAGACAGTGGTGCACCCCTCACGACCTTTGCTTGCCCCCCAAAGGTTCCCCGCCAGTCCCACCCGCAGAGGTCGCTCCTTTCAACGGCTTTGGGTGGCCCGTCCGCCTCGATCCCTCCTCTAGGGGCCACCCGCCCCTACGTTACCTCCGACACCCCTCCCCACCCAGCCTCTCCATCCCTCAGCACTTCTGCTGCACCGCACACACGCGGTTATAACGCCCAGGGATGCCGGGGGTGGGGGGCATCCCTGCCCACGGCGGAGAGACCCCCAGCTCCTTCCCAGGCGCCCAGCATCGCCCCCTACTCCGGAGACGCCCGCCCCGCAGCCTGAAACGCGTGCGCGCCCCCCGACGTCGGCGGCTCGGTTTCCCACGCGGCGCTCGGGTTCCCGCGGCCGTGGGATTCCCCGGCCGGGGCGCCCCCCTCGGAGCCCGGTGACCCGAGGTGGCAGCTCCCCCCCGCAGCCAGCGCCAGCGGCTCCCTGAGCCGGGCGGGCAGCGGGCGCCGCGCTGCCCCCGCTCGCCCATCTCCCCCGCGGCCCGTTCCAGCGGGTTCCCCCGGTGTCCCGCTCGGTCCCGCAGCGACTTCCCACGGCCCGCCCGGCCCCAGGCGCGTCGGGCCGGGGGGCAGGAGCCCGGGCGCCCCGACTTTTTATATGGACTCCCCCAAGTGGCGGCGCCGGGGTGGGGGGGGGACGGGCGGTACCCGGGCCGGGGTCGTCCTGGCGGTTCCCGAGAGGGTCGTTTCGGGGCGCACGGTGGCCTCCGCGCGGAGTGGGGTCCGCTACCCGCTCTCGGGGCCCCGCACCCCGCCGCCTGCCGCGCGCCCCGCCGCCCCCCACTCGACCGCCCCCCCTGCCCGGGAAGCGAATGGTCGCGCCCAGGCGGGTGGCCATGTTGCCGGGATAAAGCCGAGGGGCGGCGGCGGGGGGCGCACTGGCCGGGGCGGGAGCCGGGCGCGAGCAGGAGCAGCGGCCCGGAGCGCGGGGGAGCGAGCCGGCGCGATGGCCGTGGCCGTGGGGAGACCGTCCGTGAGTGCCGGGGCGTCGGCGCGCGCGGGGGCGCAGGGGCGCCGGGGCGCGGGGGGCCACTCGGGCCATGCAACAGTGTGTCCGCGCGCGCGGCGCGGGGCTGGGGCGGGAGCCGGAGCCCGCGCCCGTTCTCCCGGGGAAAAGGAGCCCCGGGCCGGGGTGTTCCCGGGCGACTCCGTGTCCCCGGGCGCGCCGTGTCCCGCGTGACGGTGAGCGGAGTCGGCTGCGGGGCTTGCTCCCGGCGCGCCCGGGCAGGGGAAGGGATCGTGGGAGCGCCCCGTGGCACTCGCCCGCCGAAAGGGGTCGGGAGAAAGCGCTGGGGTTTGTGTGTGTGTTGTGTTGTGTTGTGTGTGTGTGTGTGTGTGTGTGTGTGTGTGTGTGTGCAGTCAGAAATCGGCCACCCGGAGGCCCACCACCCGGCTGCCGGGCCCTGCCCAGGATATGGACAAAAGCCCTGGGCGCGCGCTCACACACACACACACACACACACACACACACACACATACATATGCACACACACATATGCGCGCGCACACACACACACACAAAGTTTTCCCAGGGCCCCCGGGTGAGGGTGGCTCGGCTGCCAGGAGTCTGGGGGCGGCGGGTTGCAGGAAGGGGGTGCGGGCGCGTGGTGGACCGGGCGCCCCGGGGCGTGTGCGCGGGGGAAGGACGTGGGGGTGGGGTGAGAAAGGGTTTTTCCCCGGGCGGGTCCCGGCCCGGGCTCCCCGGGGTGCCCGGCGCGGGCTCAGCATCCTGCGGCCAAGGGCCGAGAGGACGGGGCGGCGGCGGCCTCTTTCGCTCCCGCCGGAGGGACCCGGCGCCGGCAGGAAGGCGGAGCTCCTTCTCCTGCCCCGTTTCTTTGTGGATGTTGGAAGCCCGCTCGCCCCCCGCTAGCGTTTGGGGGGCGTCCGGGGCGCCCTCGGGCGAGGTTCTTCCCGCCCTGCTCCCACCTTTCTCTTTTGCCGCCTTCCACTTCCCCACCGAGCAGCTGCAGGTGGTGCTCGGAGATTCTCTGGCCGAGACGAGCGTCTTCTCCCACGCCCCGCGCCCTCGCCTCTGGCCCCCGGCACCGCCCCGCCCGGGAAGTGGGCCCCGGGGGTGGGGTGCGGGGGGAGGCCTTCTTGCGGGTTCCGATTCGGTTTGCGAGGCGGGGCGGCTGCTGCCACGTTTGCCTTCAAAGCCGTTCGACGCTTTTAGAAAACGCGCCGCGGTCGCCTTGAAGTGCAAATGTGGGTCTTGGGGGGCGTTTCGAGTTCTAATACTTAGGGGCACACTCGGGAGATCCCGGCCCCTGGCACGCCAGCTGCGCGCCTGCTAATTAGTGGTCAAAGGCTGTCGTTACGGAGGAAATTTGTATAATCTCTAGATTGTTCCCTTTACTTTCCTCGTGAGGAAATTAAGGTCCAAAGGGGTGAAGTTTTTTAACGGACTGAATTGCCTGCCCCACCCCACTCCCTCGCGGTGCTTATTTCTGGGGCACGGACTCAGCGAACTACATACAATGCCAGCCCTAGACAATGGGAAAGCTTCTAGAAGTGGGATTGGAGGGGGTGGGGGACTTCGAGAGGGGGTCGCTTTTTCCGTAACACCCATTTCCCGCTGTTTTCTTGAGAATAGGAGCGGGGTGGAGAAAATCATTTGCTGCACATTTTCTGTAAATTCATTTCTATATGTCAGTTAAATGGGAACACCATGTGGATTTTAAGGTTTACTGGGCCATAATCATATCCCACACCAGATCTGCCAACGAGATGTGAAAATAATCCCACAGAATTCTTGTGTAAGACCTGTCTCATTAGAAAAACAAAACCAACCTGTCTCATTTAAATAATAGAAATTGAGAAGTGTGTGTGCCAAGGAGGTAACCGCCTTCCCTTACCGTTCCCTGTTGTAGCCAGCACTGAGATGAAGTTACTTTGTTTAACAACTGGAGACCTTGTTACCCTTTGGGCGGAGTTGTGGTAGGGTGATCAGGCGTTGACTACAAAGTTGAAAAGTCTTTTCATACATTTCCAAGGAATGCCTGAGCTGTTGGCTCTGCCGTTCTGTAAGCGGTTCTAGAGTTTTCCGCAGTTCAGCAGCTTCAGTGCAAGTGGAATCTCCAAAGCTCCCCAGCAGCGTGGGAAGATGCCTTGCTTACTTTCTGTTCCAGGTCCTCCCCCTTTCTTTTCTCTTTTGAACAAAAGAAAGGAAGGGTGTGTTAAGGGAAAAGAATCACTCCAGAGTTGATTTTTCCCCCCTCCATTAATGGAGTTTCCCAGGTTACTCCTTTAGAGTAATTTTTTTCCCCTTAAATTTTTATTAGTGAAACACCATGAGGTACATTTGTAGAATTACAGATTTTTGTGCTTGGGTTTCAGTTATACAATGATCGAATACCCATCCCTCCACCAGTGCCCATTTCCCACCACCACGATCCCAGTATCCTTCCCACCCCCACGCCCCCATCCCATCCTGCCTCTGTGGCAGGGCATTCCCTCTTGTTCTCTTTCTCCTTTCGGGTGCTGTGGTCTGCAAAAGAGGCATTGAGTGGCAATCATGTTCGGTCTATAGTCTACTCTCATCACGCATCTCCCATCCTGAGAGAAACCTCCCAACACCCTTTATTTGGTGCTCCCTTCCTTTAGAGTAATTTTTAAATAGTTTTGGAGGGGACATAACACAGCAGTGATCAGGGCTTACTCTTAGTCCTAACAGCTTACTCCTCTTGCTCCAGGAAACCAAATGAGGTGCCACAAATCAAATCTGACCTGGCCGCATGCAAGGCAAGACCCCTACATGCTGTACTACCTCTCTGGCATGAGAGCATTGATTTTACTAATTTTTAAAAGTTTAGTTTTGGTCACAGAGAGTTTTGTGACCTTTCATGTTCTCTTTCATAAAGTCTAGCTTTCAGATGCAAGTATTAAAGTCTCAACAGTAAGTTCTTTAGCAAAATGTGAACTTATCCCCTTTCCCTTGCAAAGTGCCAGATTGGACAAAAATTCCATCAGAATAACTTGCCCTCACTTTGAGACTTCAGTTGTGTTTGAACATTAAGTATGTTATTCCAGGTAAATGCCACATTTCCTGGGCAAAAATCCTTAATGGTAGGTATACACACTTCTTTCATGAAGAAGAAGTTATACTTAGTTAGCATCAAAGCTAAATTTAGACCTCGCTTAAGGGAATTTGTTGATTGGAAAGCAAAAGCTTCAGTTTAGTGGTGGTACTGTTCCTTTAGTGCCGCTTTCATGTTGACCCTTTGCTTCTCCATTTTCCTGCTGATGGTTCTGAGACTTGACTCTGAAGAGACCTTGAAACACATCCGTGGTTTACTCTGCTGTTGGCCCTGCATGTAACTGATAATTTCTCCCCTGGGGAAGCGTCCACATTTTGGATGTTAGGATGTTTTACGGCCCAGTCCCAGGGAAGCTATTATTATTATTATTATTTTTAATCAGAGCACTGTAATTTATCTCCCTGTGAGTCAGGCTCTTCATGCTGCTGACTCTTCTGGTGTGGCGTTCTTCAAGTCTTAGCATCTAGGAGTTGAAAAGAACTTTAGCGATCATTTGCTTCAGCCTTCTCCCCAATGCAGAAATGTTCCTTTCTTCACTCTTGACAGAGATAATGTGTTTACACTTTCCTCAGGGCTGGATGGGAGACCCTTTTATGATCTCCTTCAAGAAAGAAATGGAAAACCAAGGTTATTTTTTCATTCTTTTGGGACACCCTGTCTTTACCAGGTACCATTTGTTCTTGGTGCTGGGAATACGTACACAGCAGTGCCCAAGTGAGAATGCCCCTACTCACCTGGAGAGTTTATTTTCGAGAGATTCAGGGCATTAAAGCAACACTGCAGTGTAGTCAGCTAGGGTAAGTTGTATTTATGGTCCCCCAGCCAGTATGATGCAGGTGAAGGTCTTCTCTGAGGATCATTATAACCTCGGAAGACCTGGCAGAGGGCGGGGACTGACCAGAAAGAGATGACACTCCTTGTTCTAAAAGGGCCATTGCAGGGGGGTTTGGGGGATGTGACACACAGAGGGTTTCAGGTGGTCTGGAGAAAGGTGAATGGAGCAAGAAAGTGGGGGATGATGTTCTGAACGATAAAGGGGTGTCATTTGTGTGGCAGAGGGGAGAAAGCAGTGTGAAAATGTTAAGCTTATTTAGTCAGTGATCTAAGTCATTGCATGATGAGGATCTAGAAGCAGTTATTAAGGAACATCAGCGGTGTTTGAAGGACAGCAAACTCTTTAAATCTTCTCGAGGTACAGATTAATTTTAGAGTGGGGGGCTCCCAAACTGTGCTCAGGGACTACTTTATGGTTATACTCTGTCTGGCTGTGCGGGCTGGATGGTTCAGTGGTGCTCGACCTTAGTAATGTGGTGTTACTTGGGCCTCGTGGTTCTGATGGCAACCAGGGCTACTCTGTTGGTACCAGGAATCACACTTGGGGCCTTGTGCATGCTAAACCTTGGAGCAATCTTCCTGGCCCTGTAGATCAATTTTTTTTTTTAAAGTCTTTTCTTTAAAAATCTTGTGCCTACACTATAATGAAAAGTAGATGCAAGTAGGAATTTTGTTTGTGGGATATACTTGGTGATGCTCAGAAGTTACTCCTGGCTTTGTACTCAGGAGTTACTCCTGGTGGTGCTCAGAGGATCATATGGGATGCTGGGGATCGAACCGGGTCAGCTGTGTGCAAGACAAGAGCCTTGACCACTGTACTTCCTCTTCAGCCCCAACTGATACAAGTAGTTGATAGAAGAATAGAGCTACCCAGAGCCTACCATCCTGATTAGCCTTGGGTTGTTAGTATCCCTGCATGAGCTTTTTGAGGTTCTCATCTATAACCCTAACCCACCGTAACTTGCTATTTAGAATCAGACGGAGTGCCTGACTGGACCTCATCTCACTACTGGGACAGTCACATGCCTGAGAAAACAGCTGCTTGGTGCTGGGAAGGGCCTTCCTTGTACTGGTCAGATAAACATGGGTGACTGCAGCGCTG